CACCAACAACGCTGACTCGACTCGACTCGCCACGGGTGAGCAGAACAGTAAACAAAACCGTGTCATCAATTCCCTTCTCAGAAACCCGCAGCTAATCCTGCAGGGAGAGGCTGCGCGAATTAACCCGCGGTGTCAGTCAGCCCGGCTGAGACCAGAGGTGGCCGACTGCTCGTACACAGACAGACACACAGTGAAACCAACTGATCATCACGCATCCATAGGTATTAACCGCAGGGAGTAGCAGTACTGGAGATTATTCAGTCCTTAACAGTCGCAGCTTCACTTTCCTACAGTAGATTTCCTTTTACCGCGGGCCATTCACAGCGTCAGTACCACTTGAGCAAGCAGGCTCACTCTCACTCGCTGTCGCTGTTGGTGGCGGGAGTATTATTGTTTTCTACCGCGCGCCCCCGGTCCCGTGTCCGACGCCGCGGGGCCCACCGCCCCCCGCTCGGCGCTACTGTAGATGCCAGGCCGGTCAAATTCTTGCGATTGTCTTGCGCTCGCCCTGCACTGGCCCCCAGCACACCACAGCACATCAGACCCCGTACCACCACCACCCACTGCTTTCGCTCGCGTGATTCCGAGGAAAATTTCCACCACCCTCTCCCCCTCCCGCTCTGTTCTACTCCTCCTCCTCAGAGTTTCGCCATTGGCTGGCCGCAGACGAGGACCGGAGGACACAACTGGAGGACGGACGGAGACGGACCCATCCGGTGAGAAAAAAGATTACAGTAACACTTCTTTGACTGCATGACGCAATGCATGCCGTGAATACTGTGCTACGTGCTGCATGCTGCTGTCAGTGTTTACAGGTTAAGCAGGCATGGTGTAGTTACTGCGAGGTTAAGGGCCACTGAAGCAAACTGGCAGCAGTGACAGCATGGGATATGAATCTGAATGCTTGATGACGGGGGTGACACGGGCTTTCCTCGTCAGCACTGACTGGTGACTGCCCTGCTTGTTTGTGTTTGAATGGACGCAGAGGCAAGAATGATTAAGCTGCTAGTAAGCACCAACAGTCACTTTTGCACAAAGTCACTGGCAAAAGGCAGATAAGTTAAAGTTTTAGCTTTCTTTATTCAGCAATCACCACAGCTTTTATCGATCGCTAGCTGAGGTTAAGAGCAGACACCAATGATGATGATGGTGATAAGTGCCCCTCCCAAACTGCATGTGTCGAGGTGAAGTGAAAGTGGGATCTTAACAAAGGCCCTACAAAATCATGCGGAGTAGGGCTCATCTTTAAACTAACCATGGCAGATACTAAGATCAAAATATTACTGCTACCACTAGTGTGATCAATTAGTAGTCAATAATGCAAGTAGTAGTGTTGTATAATTTCCAAGGTCCCGGGCCTGGTAAAAGAAGAAAGAAAGTGAAGGCCAAGGCTCTCTACCCCACGCCCATGTGAGCCAAGGCGCTTTGGAGCAGGTGAAAAGAAACAAAGGGAGGGCGGAGATTCTCCCTGCTCATGTATAGGCGACCGTGAATGTATGGTTCCAAGGGACGCTCCACGGCGGTCACGTACTCCCATCAAATCTTTGATTGTAGCAGCACAGCACTGTGTGGTTTCTTCTCACTTAATGGAGTACTCCCATCAAAGTTTTTGGAATTAAGCCCCATCGTTGAATGGATGCAGCTGACTAATTAGATTACGGCTTGATAAGGCTATTATACTGGTGCTTGGCCAGAGTTTTTCAACGTCGTAGTAATGATCAATTATGTCCTAGATTAGGGCGTGGGATGGTGCTAGCCTAGAGCTAAGTAAACAAATGGCGGCAGCGTAGTGTTTTTGCGGCCAGTATAGTTATATGCTCAGTGGGATCACTACTCCTACCCGCGAAGTTGCAAGCTCCGAGCTGGCCGCGCCCTGTACCCCGTGCAAAGCCGTCGTCTATCTCTTTGAAAACACCTACTCACACGCACAAACACAGAGACAGAGAGACGGGGCCAGCCATCTTTGTTTGCCTAATCAACCACGCTCGTCTTATTTACCGCCCCAAGCAGCTCGATGCTACTCTACCACGGGAAGCCCACGGTGGCCACTTAAAGGCCCGTTTATTTTGCGTTCGTGGACACCCACGGTCAGCACATCCCGACATGTGGAATATGTGGGTTATCCCACGATGCCCACATCGAACCCACCCAACTGACTAGCCTGGGCACGCCGCGGGAATTAGGACTCGCTGCCAGCCATGGCCGCGCCGCCGTGGCCGGCCTATACACGTCGTCCACCTCCATGGCCAACCTATTGAGTTCGTCGACCTCCTCTATGGCCGCACGAGCGTCGTCGTCCATCCCCGCATTGGGCGCTGCAGCGCCGCCGTCTATCTCCGTCGCGGCTGCCGGCCGCCCCAGCGCCGCCATGTACCTCCGCAGCCGCAACTCTTCCCACCACCACATAATTCTCTTCTCCCACCATTCCTGCTGCCGGCGCCACTGGAAAGGACTGCGAGAGGAGGCCTACCGCAGGCATCGACCAAGAATCTGGAAGGAAAAGTTTCAAGAGGAGAGAATCTGCAATTGACAAGAGAAGGAAGATTGCTGCTGTTTCCCCCTCTTCCAATCCATGCAAAGCTCGAGGTTTTAACTGAATTTTATGCATGTATGCGCTGCTGCTATGTGTGTGATGTTAAGTTCCTGCATGATTAACTGTTAGTAGATCCTTTTGAGAGACTAAGAATGGTGGTTGTACTGTGCCTGCTCTCTGTTTCTCCGCATGACAAATAATCTATTCTCTGTTTCTGTATGAACTATAATTAAGTTTCTGTATTGACTAGGTGGGCATTGTACTGTTTAAATTTTGCCTCTCTATTCGTCTTGCTACTGAAGAGTTAATTATACGGCCAGTTAATTATAGCAGCGTTGTTTGTTGGTGCTGCAAGTACAACGGCACTAGAGCACTAGGCCAAGGCATGCCGTGCATGCCGGCTGTAGGTGCGCATTATGTAGACGAGCTGTTAGAGCTCCCAAGGAACCAGTGATGGTAGCTCACCACCTCAAGATGACAGTGCGAACGTATTTCAACAGATACATCTGCATCAATTAAGTGGGTATTCCACTAAACCCACTTATATCCCACATAATAATATATGGGCTTTGGCGGGTATCCCATTTAATCTACGCGGCAGATGTGGGGCGGATGCGGGCCTCCCGCGGAGCGTCCCACTTACAGCCTGATCCGTACTATTTGTTTGCTTGCACGTACTGTGTTTTCCTTTGTAGGTAACGCACATCAAAAATGAAAAGAAAATGCGTGCACGCAATCAGAAGAAGGCAAAACGAAAGACAGAACAAGGCAAAACAACAACCTGCTGATCCAGCAGCGGCCTCAGCAGCTGCTTTGTGTTTTCACGTGTAGGATCCGCCCGAAACTGCAACGCCACGCCGTGCCGTGCCGTGCGCACCGCCGGTAGAGCATGCATGCATGCAGCGGTGATCGCCTGCAGCGTTGGCTTGGTTCAGGTTGGTACGCCTGCCGGCCGGGGCGGGGTCACGACTTGCACGCTCGTTCGATCGTTGGTCGCATTCGGAGCAGAGACGGCCTTGAGCCATTCCGTCAAACATTTTCCTTTTCATCACCGTGGCAAACAAGACGCGCAGCAGCAGCAGCAGTAGCGCTTTTGTTTGTTCGACCGAACAGGCTACCGAGTAGCCCACACGGGCGGTGGGCTGGTGTCTGGCCATAGCCTAGGCCGAGGCCCAGCCCCAGGCCGGGTGGCTAGCTGCCCGACGTGTCGACGTGCCGAGCGTAATGGCGATGCGATGCGCGCTGCCGTGCAGATTCAGCCACTACAGCACAGCGTTGCGTTCAGACATCGCAAATGTTTCTCTTGCATGCATAAATGAATAACTGTCGACGTGGAGTTGTGGGCTCGTAGCTTGAGCGCTGCTGCAGCGCATGGAGTGGAGGGACCATCCATCCATGATCCATCCCCCGGCATGAATGAATGAATGTGGTCTCGAGAGTGGGTGACGGGCGTCAGTCCAGGGGGGCGAAATCAATGAATGAATGAATGAATCATCTGCGTCCATGCATGATCCATCCATCCGCAGATGAGATGAGATGAGATGAGATCCCCACCGGCCCCAGTCCTACAGTACAAGTTGTTAGCGCTAGTACCACGGCCCATGCGCAACACATGATCTCCCATCTATCCTATACTGCTATTCTCAAAAAAAAAAAAAAAATCTATCCTATACTGCTCCCGACATACGGTGCCCTGTCCTTGAGCTCAATCATCAGGCATCATACGTATCTCCCAGCAACGGTGATGTCAACTGTAACTGCTCGCTGTTCTTATTCATTTCATCGGTGTTTGAGCAACGGTCTCGAAAGCTCTCATTTATTCAGGCCCAGTTTGTGTTTCGCTGTAAAAAGGAGTAGACGAAAAATGCAGTCGAAAACATGTCAAACAAACGCCAAAATAGGAAAAAGCGGATTCGATAGTAAACGGGATCATTATAATGCCAAACGCAGCCTTGGGCCCATTGAGAACATTAGGGAATGTTATTTTCATCTGTTGAAATTTTCCTAGGTAACCTTTGCAAGGGGTACCACTTACTGGAGATTTCGTTCATAGACCATCTTGTTCGCAGCGGGGCTTTACTTGCTTGATGAAGGGTTAAGAGTCACAGCAAATTTACAGGATTCTTGGCCCGAAAGGCAGATTCAGCCCCAACAGACGCATACACTATACAAGGGAACAGACTAACAGGAGACAGGGTGCAGCAGGACTGACTACAGGAGAGACTAACAACTACTGTACAAGAGCGGAGTGAACCATGCAACAGATCTAGAGGCACCAAAATGACCATGAACATGGCCTAGGGCATGGCAACAGCTTGGCCTAAACTACCAGTAACATCCTCTTATCAGATCCAGGAACTCGGCCAGGATCATATCAGATTGCAGGCATCAGGCTGGTATTATAGCCATGTCAGCTGGTTGTGTGAGTCATGACTCATGTGTCTTGTTGAATCTTCATGTGCTTCCTCTACCTTTCTCTAGAGCACGAATCCTGGAAAACGGAAGATCATAGTTCATGCCAAGATTAAAAATGTTGCCACTTAGACTCTACTACATGTCCTCCTTAATGGAAGATGCTACCATCATGTGGTTACTTGAGCAAGTTGAAATAGCATGCAGTTTCAAGAATATGGAGTGCAATTTGCTTGTAGAAGAGAGGTACAATTACCTTCCTTTGCCTGCTGAAACCTTCGATTCCAGAATATGGGGTGCGAAGCTCGCCGCTGCAGGGCGATCGCTCGCTTTTCGTCTCTGGGGTAGAATGGTATGGCGTTGACCCGCCACTCGCCCATTGTTTTCCATCACCCACATAGGGCGAGCAGCCAGACATCATGTAGTACGAGCTGAGATGTTCCTGCCTACAGATGGTAGGCGTCTCGTGTTGATTTTTGAGAACAGACATGGTGCTGAAACCTTGTTGGAAAAAGCAACTAGATGGAGAAGAAGAAGACTGTGACTGTGGACTAGGAAACGACATGAATGGTGGCAGCCTTCCATGGGGCGTAGAAACATCAGGGCTCGAGCTAGGCAAAGGGCAGCCTTCTACAGTTAAGCCTTGCTTAGCAGCCAACTTCAGAATCTGTTTCTGGTTTAGCCCTGTTCCATATAGAATGTTCCATAGGCTCCTTAGAGATTCCCTCTGGTTATGTATTACTTGGTCCCGCATAGCCATCTCAATTTGAAGCTCAGCATTATTCATTCCCTGAAGGATTCATTTTTTACATATAAGCAGCTTGTCGGATATCATATTCTGGATGGAAAACTAAAACTTTTGGGATTACTCACAAGAAGCCTGTATTGGCTGAGAATCTGCAGGTAAGTCCTGTTCCCATTGTTACTGGTAGCCTCCTCGATCATATCTTGGAGCTGACGCCTACGACTCTCATTCAGTTCAATATCCTACAGTGAAAAGGATAAATAGCCATGTAAGTTTGCTTCAAGGTAAGAGAGCAAAATTAAACTCAAGATGTACCTTTCTGTAGCCAGCACCAGCTTCGTCATTGTCACGGATGTTGTCAAGAATAACTTGCCTCCTTGATGTTAAGGCTTGCAAAACTGTATAATCCTTCTCATTCACCTGAATACAAAAACCCATCAGTGCACTGTACATAGTGTGGAATTTCTAAGAAATCTGTTGCGACAATAGATGCAGGAAATAGCTGCTACAGTCTGTTTGATGAAAGAGTTCTCGAAAAATTGATCAGTCAAGTTACCCACCTGTGGTCTTGCAATTGCACTGTCAAGATGTTGGAGCTCCATCCGGTTACGCTTGTTGGTTTCTTCAAGTTCAAACAGTGCTTTCTGTAGATTTATACGTTCTTGAACATTCTCGCCAGTTTCTTGGCTCAAGACATTTAGCCAAGATAGTTCATTATCTGCAGCCTTTTCAGTAGGTTTTACACTTAATTGATGCTCCTTATCAGCTAATTCTTTTTTCAACTGAGAAACCTCACCCTACAAAGTGACGATGCGACACACTTCAGTATTTTACTGTGGCCAACAAATAGGTATAACACTAGAAATTTACTTATTTCCCCGTTAAGGCAAACCTGGAGATTCTCTATCATCCTTTGGTAGTCTTCAACATGATTGTCGATCGTTCCAATATTTTTCTATACAGGAAAAAGAACAAACATCAGAAAAATAGACCTGGCTACTTTAGCATGTATGATTCAGAAAAGTAACTGGTTCTGTCGTGTGGGAGAAAGATGAATCGACAGAAATAACATCTCCTTGTGTGTGCACTCGACCAAAAGAAATGACTCCTTACATGAACATGTGTTTTTATCTCCTTAGCACGGTCCGCATACTTGAGTGTATTGGTAGTGTGATGATACTGATCATCAGCTGGTGATATTGTGGCAATCATGACAGTTCGAGAATTACCAGAGAGACCATCCTTCAGAATTCGAGTTAATTTGCTGTAAATAGCCACTGTCACATAACTAGAATGGACAAAATTGGTTCTGATAGTAGAATGTCCACCTGACATACCTGTTGCGATATGGAACATATGCTAGACCTTTCTTATTTTGCTTGCCGAGGGCATTGATGCAATTCGCTAATGCTAGAAGTGACCGATTAATGTTGGCTCCATCTCTAAGCTTTTGGCCAAAATTGTTCGTTTCAGTAGCCCTCTCACTGCTCAAAGAAAATTGTTTTCAGCTTACTTTTGCTGACAGAGTGAAAAGAAAAGCAGCAGCCCAAAAAGAATAGTTATTACCTGCCCGCAAGATCAACCAAGGCAAGCTTTCCACGAAGAACTTGACTACCATATTTTCCTTTCTGCTTGCGTCTTACAGTAATTTCCAGTACAGCATGTGAACTTGAAAAGGAGAGCAAAATATTTTCTATGTGAGAATAATGTAAAGATAGACTCACAATCTCAATAATCTAGCAGATTAAAGATCGTAGCTTGCAGGCACTATTACCTGATCGTAACTGTCTTGATAGACTCACAATCTCAATAATTTAGCAGATTAAGGATATTAAGTAACCTTAAATAGCAGTTATTTAAGTTTTATTAAGATGTAACTGATTCATTTAAAAGGTAAATAAGTAATGGAAGCATGAACTTTTAAAGGGGAAGCAGAAAATATTTACCGCGAAGAAGTTGCGTTTGCTTCCGTGCTCTCTGTCTTGCGTCTGCTGTTGCCTATGTTCAAGAGTTCAAGGATCTTATCTGCTGAATGGACCTAGGAAAATAACAGTTTGAACATCCAAATTTAGTTTATGCAAAAACTGATGGGAATCAACAGGCATGCTTTCAGAATATGGCATGACATGCAATAGATACTGAATGTTGCAACAGAATTAGACAAAACACAAGAAAGAAGGCTTCATACAAACCCGAGGACCAATTCTTCAATACAAACTTATCAATTATCATAAACAAGATGACCGACTTAAAAGCACAACAAGAAGATCTAGTCATGTCCTTTCATTGTCAACTTATCAGCTACTTGAATATAGCAGATAACATTACGCGCAAAATAATAGTTAGAAATGTTAGGAGTAACAAAAAAAAAGAAGCAAATAACACAAAAGAAGGCCAGAATTAACACTAGCAGCCAAGGCATTTATCTTATTAGCAGGGAAAACAAATACGGAAGGAAGAGGTGTAAACCTTAATTCTTCTTAAACCAGCGACTATTATGCCATGCTCGGGGTCCTCACGAAGCTCCAGGTGACCCGAGGATTTCTCAAGCAAATCATAGATAACCTGGAATTCAGAAAACCAACAATTATTTCACAGCTTATATGCAACACATATATTATGACTGGTAATTTGATATTATCTAATTACCAACACAATATTTTGTAGATTACCTCATTGTATACTTCCAGATATGAACATGAGACTTCAAATGTATCTGAACTATCATCTTTTTTTATTTGATCAAAGATTGTGCGAAAGCTAAGAACCATAAGACCAGGATCATTCCGGCTTCCAACCATTGTATATGTTTTGCCACTGCAGAATTACATACAGCAGGACATATTAATATACATATGGAACAACTTCAGATTGTAGCCCAGTATCCAAGTATAGCAAAAACACCTTTACTGAATAAATAGTACTACCTCCGTCTCAAAATATAAGAAATATAAGACGTTTTTGTAGCCTACAAAAACGTCTTATATTTTGAGACGGAGGTAGTATATCAGTTCTTCACCAGGGAAGTTTTGAAAAGAATGAAAGAAAAGAAACAAAGTAACCTCCCATAGCAACTGGGAACAGTTTGATTTTAGCAATTTGAACAGTCAACTACTTATAGCCATAAGATCAAGTTTTTCTCATCGTGTTTGCACATGCACAAATCCTTAAGTCTTATCAAACAGACCTGGACGTTGACTTAGAAAAAGCAAAACCATTTGAACAATCATTAAATTGATATGGCAACTGACTAAGTGTGAAGTAAATACGACAATCATTTAATTACTTTTTAACCCTCAAGCTTACCAGGCATGGTACACAAAAAATCCCGAAATAGAGGAAATTCAGGAAAATATAATGTGTTAATTCAATGATCACATCTGAAGAAGTGTTTGGACAGTATATCATCCATTTCCTTAAAAATAAAAAACTTATGAAATTTACACCATACTTTAATAACAGCAACTTATGAGATCCTTCAGAACTGTGAGTGTAAGGCAGTACATATTTGATGATGGCTAAAGATAGCAGTCTGCTTGTCAGTAGTAAAACTATTCCAGTGAATGCATACCTTCCAGTAGATCCATAGGCAAAGACTGTCACATTAAGGCCTTGAACTACACCCAAAACTGTGGGAGAAATATTCTTATAAACGTCCTGCGGAAGAATGCATTTATATCAAATTAAAATCATAAGATGTTATAGTGTAAAACATGAACGACAAGAACACAGCATTTCTATACACATCCATATGGTTCTCATTGCAGTTTCCATATATTCAGTGATAATAACCTTACAACAGCAACAACTAAGCCTTTAGTCCCAAACAAGTTGGGGCAGGCTAGAGCTGAAACCCATAAGATCTATTATCACAAACATATTAGCATCAGTTTGAAATAAATGCATTTTAGACTACTGAACTTGCTGGGTTGTGTTGAAACACAGTACTCACAAAATAATGTAATAGATAAAATAATTAAATGTGGAAAGGGGTAATAACTTATATGTATGTACATATGTACTGTATCAGTTAGAACATCTCCAACAGCAGACCAAAAAACACAGCCGTGACCCAAAAACTGTTTTTTTTTGTCTTTTGGGCCATAAAAAACTGCTCCAACAGCATACCAATAACTATATGGCGACCGAACTTTTTTATATCCTGACCAAAATATTGCGACAAGTGATTTGACCAAAAACCAAAGCTGCTGCAGCGGGAACCCAACCGCCGCCGCGCCGTCTCACCCCGAGCACTCCCACGGCCATCCTGAGCCACGCCCGTCCGGCCCCGCCCAATTCCGGCTGTCCCACCGCGCTCCAAACCGTCAGATCCGCCACCGCCCCTGTCCCTGAGCTCGCGCAGCCGACCCCAAGCACCACGACGCCGCCCCCGAACTTCCACGCCGCCGGATTCCGCCATCATTTTTCCCGCCGTCGGATTGTCATGTTTCGTGTGCTTCTCAAAATTTTGGTCTGCTGGAAAAGCACAAGATTTTCTGGTGACCAAAAACCTTCTCTCTCCACCCCTAAACCGAGTTTTTGGTCACCAAATTTTTGGTCTGCTGTTGGAGATGCTCTTAGTCCAACCTATTACATAGTGTTACAGTAGGGCTAAAAAATCCCATATTAACGGAAAATAAATAAATCTATACAGTATTTGCAGGTCATCAAAACAGTGGAATTTCGTCAGCTATGTTTAGAGTTGTTGAGCAGTTATAGTTGTACAGAAAAATACAACTATATGTTTGAAAAAAATAAGACTATTTGTTAATAAAAGCACAATTGTTTTAGTATCTAGCCGGGCAGGAGATTTGACTACGTATATACACGTTTCCAGCATCTATGTATACCTGTGTAACATGGCCTGATCATAGAACTTTGATTGCTTAAACATTTTATGTAACGTTTTTTTACAAGAATGATTCTGACAAGGTCCAGGAATACGGTATTAACATTTTCAACACGGTGTATGATGTTACACGACTTGCTAAAACAAGTAAAAAAATAGTATTCACATGAAATCAAGTTCTAATAGTGATTTAAACATTGCTGGCAGATCTGTTTGGATTTATGAGTTATTAATACATACACATGTTTGTCATGATAAGCTGCTAGGGGTTTATAGCCTGGACTCAGACCAGCTCATAAGTAGGACTAGTTATGTATCCAATAACTTCCAGCCACTAGGTGCTCGCATGATCTCCCAGTTGCAGGACACAACAAATTGTCACACAAAAATCTCAAAATAAATGCAGTGACTTCAACTAACCTACAGATTTTTCAAACGTTAACACAGCAGAAACAAGTTTGTTTTTCTGAAAAAGGGGTGACCACGGAGCAGAAACAAGTGGTACTGGGTTAGAACTAGATAACACGGTTGTAGAGCGGACTAGTGCAACCGTATCAGGGAGAGCCACTGTAGACGAACTACGAAGACCGTGGATAACAAACGGTCGCCCAGCTAGTTGCACTTAATTACAGTTTACACTTTACAGGGTAAGTGATGAAGATAAAGTTCAGCAAATGCCCCAGGCTCCAGTCCAGGGCTCTGATAAAAAAATAAAAGTGAGTTCTGGAAATTATTTCTCTAAACTAGAGTCCTTTTCCCTGAAACCAGACGTATACGCGTTAGGTAGCATACCTAACAGTAACAAATACAGCCAAGGATTTGTTTGCTCCAGACTGAATTGGCGTTTTGCACATGCCAATAGTATCGTTACAACCTAGAGCTATCCAAAGCATGAGCAACTCCTAGTTTTGGCAATTAATAAACCAAAGGGGTTGGTTGTGGTTTCGCTTTCTGGAGTATCATTTCCTAAAATGCAAGACATGACCATTCTAGGAACTCCAAAGATTCAGTGCAGGTATAATATAAACACTTGCTGTAATCAGCATATGAGCCCATTGTCAACAGCAAGCCAAGCAAATTCAAGGTCAGAGCAGCACAAGCTAATGAGCTATATAAGCCTGCGTACCGTGTTGGAGCATCCAGGCGCGTACACGTGATCGAAGCTGTATCTTTTCTCCTTGGTCCGGTTTTGGATGAGGTCCAGGTAGCCCTTGGAGATATCAGGGTCCAACACAGCCACATTCTGGAGAAACATACAAGCACAACATCACTACTACTTTGCTACCATTACCATCCATGGCAAAATTCAATCCACCCATGACACGAACTACTAGTTCATGGCCCAACCAAATGAAGCCGGGCCTCTGAATGTTTACCTTGTCATCAATGACTTGTATGATGTGCCGCGAGCGCCGACGCTCGTTGTCGGTCAGTGGCCTGCACTTGACGGCCACCTGCAAATGGAAACAGCAGGATCACACACGCGCGCGCGAAGCAACAGAGTGATTAAGCAATGGAACAGAAGTGCAGTCAAATCGCAGTGGATTAGTGGAGAGGATGCATTAGTACCTGCAGCGTGGCCGTCTGCCTGGAGGCCGGAGCCCGGATGGACGGCATTGCGCGGAAGCTTCCTTTTGGGGCTTGGCCCCCAGCCGACCTCCCTCCCCCCCTTCCTTCGCCCAGAAGATGCGGTGCTAATCTAGCACAAGCCAACGCGACCGCGCCCACGCCCACGACCCTTCGGAATCACGCCACACGGGGACGGGGGCGGCATAAAGGCGAGGCGCATCCCCACCGCACCAGCACCACCACCAGCTGCCGCGGCGGCGGCGAAAAGGGGCCCCGCGAAAAGGAGCCCGCCACTGCCGCTGCTAAACTGGACGGCCACCACCAACCCGAGCCGCCGCCAGCCAGAAACGACGAATGCCGATGAGAAAATGCCGCCGGAGCCCGAGCCCCTCCGCCAAAATGCGGCGCCGCGTAGCCGTTCCCGCTCCCCCGCCGCGCACCAAACGCTCCAGAAATCGCCGCCCGGGGAATGAAGGAACGGCGGTTACTCCATCAACAGGAAAAAAATGGCAGCCCGAGCGCGTGTGATTGATTTGGTGGGTGGCACGACGAGGCCGGCAGGCGTACGAAGCGGATTCAGGAGAGAGGTTAGATGAAGCGGGGAGTGGGAGGAGGAGGAGGAGACGGAGGTGGAGGTGGAGGTGGTGGTTTAATGTGGCGAGAATAATTAATCGGCGGCAGCTGGAGAAGGCGACACGGAACGGAAGGGGAGAGGGAGGGGAGGTGGGGGTGGGCCTCGCCCTCGCCTAGCTGGGCCCCGCCCAACGGTCCGATGCCTTTGCTTGCGCTTGCGCCTCCGTCCGGGCCGGGCCGGGCCGGGCCGGTCCGGTACACGACGCCGTACCTGCGGTACAGTCCTGCACACCGCACAGCACAGCTCAGCGCGCCCCTCTCTACCCTTTCCCTGCCCGCCAGGTCTCTTCTCGCGTCGGGGCGCTCTCGTCTCGTGCAAACATAATCTTGGAGGCCACTGTGTGCGTGCGTGCGTGCGTGCGTGCGTGCGCGATGCAACAAAACGGGATGAACAAAGGGTCGGTGTGCACGAGTGCCGAAAGGCGTTCTGGTCCAGCTCAATGCATGATGCGGAACAGTGCGATGCTAGCTAGAGTGGGGGAGCTCACCTATGGTGCACGGGCGGTGGGTGATGGTGCGCCTTTAGTTTGGGTGTCGGGGCGGCGGCCATGGGTGGCGAGGCGAGGCGGCGCGCTTGGCTCTGCGTCGAGGCGAGCGTCGTCGCAGCCGTGGTCGATCTCGATCTCGTCTTAGCTTATGTGGGTAGCAAGGGGAAAGGCGACGAGACGAGTGATTCTGGTGTGTCGTGGCTTCAGCGGTGGCGGCTCCCTGGTCGTGATTTGGCGGCCATGTAGCTGGCGGCGGCGACAGTCCTTTCTTCAGGTAGGTTCGAAGATCATGGCACCTCGTGTGGCACAGGCAGCGATCCGAGTGAAAGCTCCGCGCTGCCGCACCGGTAACGGTGATACTATGGGTGTCGTTTTCTCTTGAGGGCACCGTAGGTTTCCTCTTCGTGTTAAGGCTCCGGATGAAAACCCTAGCACGTCATATCGGGCTCGATGGCAGTGGCGCATTGTGTCGTCAACTTCTCGAGGGCCTCGTCAAGGAGCTCAGGCAGCGCGTCGGTGCCTTCTAACATGCTCTAAACCTAACGAGAAACCTCTTGACTCTGACGTGGGGTGCCTTCGTTGGTCTCCGATCTTCTACACGTGCCGACGGTGTCCCGGCCTCTAAAAACACTGTTATATCTTTTTCTTTTTTGACGGGAGAAAATGATTCGATGAAACACTGATGGTAATAACTCTCCAATACAACTGTACAAGCAACAATTAGAAGACCGTATACTCAATTAAGCAGTAGCGTGCATCCCTCCTTAAACGGTGTGTAAAAGCAGCAGTAACGTACAACTAATTGAGCAAATTAAGCAAATTAAGTTGGCATCCGTGCATGCATAACCGCGTGTCTATTTTAATCAGATTGAAGCATCAAATCCGTCGACGTTGATATCGCCATGCTAATCTATGTTAATCAGATGGAAGTATTTATTTATTTTTTGGAACCGACCATGCTAATATTTTAGATAATGAAAGAAAAACAGCTTTCCGTCTCTGCATTATAAAATTGTTTCCATGTCGGTTGCCACGTCGACCTCTTTTCTTAAACCACCAGCAGCTACAGTGAGTCTCGGTGTACGGCCGGAGCAAAACGGTACAGTTTTATTTCCCCGTTGATTTCCTGGATCGGAGGCGCTAAATTAGTCAAGAGAAACATTGGTGGACCTGTCGCCATTCAGACAACGAGTGAAACAATGATTACCAAAGAAAAAGAAAAACAAGGGAAAATAAATATTTTTCTCTAACGTTAATTTGCTTGTACCTTGCGCTTTTATGCGCGAGCTGACTCTTTCTTTCCCTCTAGACCGGTCTAGGTGCATGGAACAAGCTAATAATTGAGACTTCGATCCGGATCATAAATTCTGTTCGTTTTAAATTTTCTGTTGATTTCATTTTCGTTGCGTCGCTGATTTCAAATGAAATGTGTGTGTCGCACCCACCACGAGCCGGTGGGGATTTTCCGGTGAAGCTGATGCATACTGAAGCAGAACTGTAGGCTTTTGAGTGATTGCGGTCCAGTGAAGTGATAGATCGCGCCCTCTAAATTCAAACTCGGTGGAAGTTTGAAATGGTCAGTGGAAATGGAGTGTACAGTACTAAATTTCCCAACTACTGCAAAATGGACTGCTCGGCGTTACGTTTGTGTCGACGCCTCCTCAGATCTTGGATGCATCAAACAATTGCCTGGCACAGGGTTCAAAAGTCAAGCGCGCGTGCGTGGAGCCAAGGACAAGATCCGATGAACGCAAATATTTATAATACTGTCCCGTTTTGAATTCGAACTCAACTCGCGGACTTATTTGAACGTCGACCGATCTGTGGATAGTTAATGGCCTCAACAACAAACAGCGTACGTGCGTATCCATTCATGCCCCGGTTTCAGAACATGGGCTGTAGACATGGAGCGAAGCACAGCCGCCCTGAAAACGAAATTCAAAAGGTCAAATGAGCAGTGAGCCAACAAAGACGAGATGGCCACCCCCCGCGCGTGCTGTAGATCGACCATGGCGTGTCAGGATTTTAAGAGCGGTCCGCCTTCTCGCCATACGGCCTTTAGGCTGTGTGTAATGGGGAGTATCATATACTAGTATCATGCATATGATACTAGTGTATTATACTACCTCCCTAATGCATAGCATCATATATTAGTATCATATAGTACTTTATTTATTGTCATGCATGATACAAAATAGTATAACATTTAATATGATACGGTATCATGATATGATACTACGCCCTCTCTTTCTTCATTTAATGCTATGACATCTCATCAAAATTGTCTAGTTGGCATGTATGATACTAGCTACTACTACCATTACGACCAGCCTTAGTTATGCACAGTGCAGTGCTTTTTCACGCATGTATATCGAAAGTGTTCTTTTTGCTCGCGAGACCCTTGATAAACAGTGCAATCAAAGAAATTGGAAAGGATTTAAAAAAAACAGATTTTTGTTACGACAAGCATTGATGAACTGTGTACATGCGCGTAAACTTTTGTGAAAAAAAATCTTTCCTAACTTTGTGAGGGAAAAAAACAATGTTGCAAAAACTTCGATCTTGTTCGCTTTGTCTAGAGTATTTAGAAAAAAAAACTTCACAAAATTTTGTATGTCTATAGACAATTTGTCAGTGCTTGTTGCCAAAAAACCAGACTGCATTTAATTAATTTACTATTCACGAGAAAGAAATTAAGCTCACGAGCAGAAACTCACTGTCCATACTTTGTCAATACGAGTGAGTGACCTACGCCTTCCAATCTATGGTTTCAACTACTTTTATCTAAAGCTTCTTCGCTCCCCAATACACTTGTGCCTTCTTTTAGGGCAACTTCAACGTGCCAACCCAAGGGGACACGCAATGTCTCTGTCTTTTGCCTGTTTGGGTCGTTTGTAGGGGTGGCATTTGCGCTTGTCCGTGCTTTTCTGGTCAGTGCGCCCAATCGGCCACCCCATTTGGTTCGACTCGGCAGGTTTATTCAACAAACATATTTTCATCATCAAACATAGCAAAATAAAGCTTTTTTTTTTGCGTAGTCCCATATGTCATGCCGACGTACAACATTGCGCCAAAATAATTGCATCTCGCCCATGGTTCATGCATCTCGGCCATAGTCATGTGAAACAAATAAAATAAGATAATCACGCATTTCGCTCAAGCACTAACTTTTGCTTCTTCTCGAACCAAAGCCTTTTTCTTGTGTACATCTTGCTCAAGTCGTCTGCCATGATCTCCACTTCGAGATTATAGCAAGCTCTACCTCCTTGGCTCTTGACCGGGCATTGGCTTCATCGATCTCGAGCTTCTTCTTTTGTATGTCAAAGAAGGTCTTCATTGCCTCCTCTTTCTCTTGGCGCTTCATCTCTTCTCTCTTCTTAATTGACAACTCCTTTTGGGTCATGAACCCCTTCAAAGTTTCTTCCAAGGTGAGTGTCGAAGCATCACGCTTTTGCATCCACCTTGAAATTGGTCAGCCCCCTCGGCTTCTTCTCACTTTCACTCTTTCACTTGGGTCGACGACCGATGAGTATCCCCCCCCCCCCGCCGCCTTTTTTGCACCGCATATTGCTCCTTACTTTTT